AAAGCTGAAGCCTGCAATGAGAGGTTTTCTCCTATATTGTTGTGCTGCATTTGTGTGGTTGACCATCTTGCTGTAAATGTTTCCTTCAAGAAAGAGGTGCTGTAGGTTTTTGCTTTTTCCTGCTCAATCATTCTGCTATTGTATCCTTTTGTTAGGCTACCCATGCACACTGTGCACACATACCCACAGGCGTGCTAGCTGGCATGGTGGAAGGGCCAGTACACCTTAGGGTCCCTTACTGGAGTAGGAAGATCCCACCCAGCTTCACTGCCAAGTGCTGCCATGTCCCCAGCAGACACGGGAGCAAAGCTTTGAGAGTGCACTGGATGCTACAGTGGTGTAGGTGGGAATTTACAATAATTCTTCCCTTCTCCTGGATTGCTGTCCTTCCTCCCCACCTCCTGTGCGCCTCGTGGGGCTGCTGGCAGCTGCAGAAGCTGGCGAGAGCTGGTCTGAACATGTGGGAGAGGGAGAGGGCAGTGGGGTAGGATAGCCCCAGGCTAGGAGTAGTCAGAGAAGGAACTCTCCTTCTGCCGCAGGGGTCTTGGCAGTGATGACATGTCCTAATACTTTACAAAAATGTGTTAAGCAAGATTAAATTAATAATTTATTGAAATCAATGAGCTTAATCATAACTATTAGAATTTATTGAAAAGAAGGTAGCAAAATCGAAGGCACTCAGCTCTTCCACTTCCAGGCTTTTGTGCGCCCATCTGCGTTTTTAACCATGGAGTAATACCATGCTTAACTCTGAGGAGATGAGTTTGCCTCATAATTCCAGTTTTCTTGTTGGAAGTTTTTCTCTTCTCTAGGGACCTTCTAGAAATAGTTTCTTGGCAACGAGCTGCTGGGGTTGTTGTACAATTGGGCTTTGTAGGGCTGTGCCTTCACACAGCCACAGCAATCCTACACTGGGACAGGCAGACCAACACGTGTCTGAAATACCCATCTGGAGAAGTGCACTGGGCCTTTGCCATGCAGGGGGCAGCCCTGCAATACCAAAATGGCAGAGTCCAGACCCAGAATCCAACAGAGCAGTTGCTCTTTCCTTCATCTGATTCCTACACAGAATCAAACTATCTTGTTGCCGTACCTATGTGCTGCCAAAAGTTTCTGAACTTTTGATCCAACTTAGCCAAACTGTTAAGCAATTGAATAAGTTTTGACATATGAATAGTCCTGTTGAAGTGACTGTTACTCCTTATCCTTCAAGTTGCCCATGCATTAAAGTACCTTGCTGAATCAAGGACATTTATATTGGCCTTCACTATCTTCCAAAAGTAACAAGCTTGTTTTCCTTTTCTCAAATTCTCCAAAGACTTTCTTAATCTATTTTCACAGCTGTAAACTAAGGGGATCTCTGCTCTTTGCTTGGATTAGTCACCAGGACTTGGAGGATTTGCTTAAAACCAGAAAGCCCAGCACTGCCTTTTGTTCTCCACAGTATTTGGCTGTGGTTGTGTGCAGGGATGCACCCGTACCGCTTCCTGGGCAGACCTGCCAGCACGTTCAGACAATGCAAACACAAAGTCATTGTTTCTCTTTCCAGTTTTCCATTTCAGTCCCCAATGTATACACCGTACTCTGAAATTATTGCAATGCTCAGCATGTATAAGTGCTTACTGAGTGCCTGGTTAGCCTGCTCATGCCCTAGGACACCTCAGTCCCAGGCCAGGGGCTGCTCATGAGAAAATACTAGTAGCAGACTTTGCTTTGCTTTGGCAGTATCTTCTGAGTTCCATTCTTGCTACAGGACTCAACTTTCTCTTCCATAGACCTCTAACTCTAGTCTTGACCCTAACCCCAGGCTGAGCCCCAGCCCAGGGGGTCAGACGCGTTCCCAGGTTGAGCAGTGCTGAGGGTTGAGTCACCAGCAGCCCTGGAGTTGCTTTTGCAGCACCCAGAGCTCCGCCACCTGCCCAGCCAAGGGACTCCCATCCTCTGAGCCCAACCCCATGGGAGGCTTGGCTGAGTTTTGTTGTGTGGCATCTCTGCAGGCAAGCACAGTGTTCTGCCCCTGCTACATCCTTGCACTCTTGCTGCAGGAGGGGAGCAGCACTACCTTAATTGAGGTGACCTCAGTAAAGTTCTGGTGGAGATGGACCCCTCTGTCCCAGCTGGCAGATCTGCCCTTGCTTAACACCAAATCTACATCAGTGAAGTTGAAAACACTTTATTTCCTCATCAGTCGTCTTCACTTGTCATCTTCTTATGGAAGTCCTCCCACAGACATGGTGTTTCGCCACACTTCAAGTTCACTGGAGGATTAGTTTCCCGTTTCTCCCTGCATGCTGCGCACCTGAAAGCCTACACATTTTCTCTGGGCCTCGCTACTCTTGCATCGTCCTCCCTCCTGGCTAATGGCACAGGGAACCAGCTGACTAATCGTTCTCCTCGGTGCCTTGCACTCCGAGTGAGTTTAGTAACAAAAGGAAATAAAAGTGGGAGCTGTGTGGATGCATCCATCAGCTCCAGCCTCACACACCAACTGTGGAAAGGCTTTTTCCTCAATCAGTATTCATGCTATGTTACACACTAGGGAAACCAATAGGGATGCAATATATATATTGGTGTGGTTTAATGCCTATCCCCACAATTTTTTTATTTCCTTCTTAGGAAGAAAATACTGGAAGTACGTTTCACTTGTTGCTTTCTATTACACCATTATGATTAGTAAAAGATTTTGTGCCAGATCCATGCTCAGTGAAGTATTCCTGAAATTTGTGGAGCTATAGCAGAATTTAATTTGTCAGTGTGGAGCTGATGTTGCTCCCAGTGTTGTCTTCAGCTGAAAATCTCAGCTTTCCATTGCCTTACTTAGAGGAAAAAATAGGCCCATGTCTTCAGTATTTCTCAGAAGGAGTGCCAGAGACACTGCAATGGTGTAGACTCTGCTGCCGCCGTATGTGAAGAAGTGTGGTAGTATTCTGTGCCAGAGGCATTTAGGAAATATACCCCTGACGGCAAAGTTTTCTGAGAGGTGAGGAGGATGTTAGCAGCTGCATTAGCATATATGGCATGTTCAATACCTTTGATTTTCTTTTAAATGTCATGTGGTGGAATAATTTGGAGGTGGTGCACAGCATCCTCGTGATATTGGGGCCAAAAGAAGCAGTTTGAATGAAAGCTTAATAGAAATTCAGTGTGCTCCCATGCTGAGCCCAGAATTGGTTGACCGCATAAATCTAAATGTCAAATAACTAGAAAGTTCTACCAAATGGAAATCTGATGTTTTATTTCCATGTTGTCAACACATGAAAAGAAGCATACTTAATTGACAAAGGGTAAAACTCTGTGCAAGTTCTTTTTTCTTTTTTTTTCTTAAATACTGAAAGTAGGACAAAGATGCCACCAGTGTTTTCAAGAAGTGGGAAAATGTCAATTATTAATTATTTTGAGAACTAAAAATCATGTGGGTATTTATAAGCATTATCTAAAAAGTGAGAAGCATTGAAAAGTTTGTATGGCAGCCCCAAGTCCAAGTACACTTGGTAGAGCACTGCTGAATAGCAAAATACAGGTTGGTGAGCAATCTAAAAATGATGATGTTGTATTGAGTGGCGTGGGTTGTTACTTCGGTTAATTTGATTTTTATCCTGTACGGAAATAAAAGCTCAAGCACTTCCAAACTTGGTTATATTTCTAAAGATCATCTTTGTGTGCCAGCTTTTGCCTAGAAACTCACCCGAAGATGTCAGCCATTGAAACCATTTCATGTGGAAGCATTGCTAAGTAAATTCACTAAATGCCTATTCATCCCAGTAAGATGGAGAATCACTGGAGCAGCAAATGTGAAAATCTGCACAGCTTACTATACAGAAAGCAGTTTTCTGAGGTTGCCAAATTGAGATGCAGAGGCTGACCCTGGGAGGTATTACAACTCACATGAGCAAGCATAGAAGGAGGGTCTCAGGCTCCTACAGCCTGGTCGTTCAGGCTGGTTGATAGGCAGATACTTCATTTGGTCCAGATAAAATCAATGGTTAACTTATTCTTTATTTATCAGTTCAATAATGAAATGCTACCTGTGATGACAGAATAATTTGATTTTATGAGATACGAAGATAGTTTACTAGGCTGATAACATTTCCAAGTTGTTGCAGCCTGACCCCAGAAGTTAAATGCATTTTGTACAGGACCCTGGTTTAACTTGGCTTTCAGTGGCTTATAATAGTGAAATGTTTTCAAGATACAGTACTGTTGACAGCTGGTTTATCTTTAGTTTTTCTGCCATCAGCTCCATTACAGACCATTGCTTAAATGGTGTTGTGTCTATAATGTTGTGGGTTTGAATACAACTCAGGTGATGAAGATCTTTTTAATATGATTTATTCAGTTTTCCTAAATATGCTGACCTAGATAAATAGAGAACGTTTTTGCTCCATTGTTAAAGAAATAACAGACCACAAAAGCTGTCAAGCGTAAATACATTCTTGGACATGTCAGCTGAAATTTTGAAAATACTGTTGTCAAATTGCCAGTCATTCTAATTGGAACTAAGCTTCTAAATTTCTTTGTTTCTATTAATTATATTGGGATTTTGACATCCAAATTTTCTTGCTTTATGCATTCTGACCTTGGCCTCTTCTGTATTACAAGGATGAAAACAAGTAAAACGCCAATAGATACTTAACCAAATTCCCTAGGAAAGACCTAGCAGAGCATGGGACTATCAATGCAGTCATCTCACAGCTGGATTTTCATACTTAAAAAGTGCTGACCAATATTACTTAATACATAGTTTGTTACAATGCTTAAAACATCTGCCAAGAGTTGATAAGAAATTCGTGAAGATGTAATAAAACTGTGCTTCTTTCTAAGTATACTTGCCTGAGTAGAGGGAGGGTGTGAAGTTCAGCAGCAGGATGGAAGTTTTTTCAGGAACTGCCTCCTTCAAAAAGTCTGCGGATGGTCCCCAAATGAGAAAAAATATATAAATTACTCTAAACATAGTAGGTTTTGCAGTATAATTTGTGTATCTTTTGTTCTTTCTGTTGCAGGACAAATGACCAGCTAGTAGCATTCCTGTCCAGATACCGTGATATGAACTTCTTGAAATCACACGGGAGGGACAACGCAAGGTAAGCTGGTCCTTTCCTCAGCTTATTTTCACACAGAATCGCAAGGGTTGGAAGGGACCTCCAGAGATCACCTAGTCCAACCCCTCTGCTAAAGCAGATTCACCTAGAGCATGTTACACAGGACTTCGTCCAGGCGGGCTTTAAATATTTCCAGAGAAGGAGACTCCACAACCCCCCTGGGCAGCCTGTTCCAGTGCTCTGTCACACTCAAAGTAAAGAAGTTTTTCCTCATATTCAGCTGAAACCTCTAATGTTTCAGATTGTGCCCATTGCCCCTGTCCTGTCACTGGACACCACTGCAAAGAGTTTGGCTCCGTCCTTGTGACATCCATCCTTAAGATATTTGTATGTATTGATGAGGTCCCCTCTCAGCCTTCTCCTCTTCAGGCTGAACAAGCTCAATTCGCTCAGCCTTTCCTCCTAGGGCAGATGCTCCAGTCCCCTTATCATCCTTGTTGCTCTCCTCTGAACTCTCTCTAGGAGTTCCTCATCTTTCTTGAACTGGGGAGCCCAGAACTGGACACCGTACTCCAGGTGGGGTCTCACCAGGGCAGAGTAGAGGGGGAGGATAACCTCCCTCGACCTGCTGGCCACACTCCTCTTAATGCACCCCAGGATACCATTGGCCTTCTTGGCAACAAGGGCAC